AATATTAATTATGTAACATTGCAATTACTCTATTAATAAAGATCACGAGAAATGCCTCACTTAACATTTAAAAAAAATTATAATATTATATATTAATATACAGTATATACCAAAATATTATTGGTTGCTCTCTAGATGCAAATCTCTTTAAGTGTACACATATTTTAAAATGGTTCCAATGATATGTATTTAGAGAGATTTGTCTATATATACTTAGCATTAATCCTATCACTAGTGAAGTGGAACATTTGATATAATGATAAATAACCAATGTTAACAAAATGTCTCATATATAATATCTGTTTATAATTAAAATATATATATATAGTATATTCTATACTAAGATCAAACTTATTTTTTGTTAAATAATAAATTTAATATACGTAAATCTGTTTATTTTATTAATATTGTTATTGAAGAACTTAAAAAATTTCTGAACTAGCTTATATAATATATAACATATAATTTCAATTTTAAATTATATCAATTGAATTAAGAATAAAAAATATGAATTTATATATTTAATAAAACATTAACTATTAATGTACATTAACAAATTTATAGATAACATTAATAGTTTGACTGTTTATGTAACATTCCAGTTTTTTTGACCGGTAATGATTCTCTAAATTTTACTAAAAAAAAAAAATTTTTTTTAAGAATTTTCATCCAAACTATATATATATATATGAACCAAATGATTTATGTTTCTACCGAATATTTAAAACTTTAAATATATTACTACTAGAAAAAAATATATATATCTCGCATATAATAAACTGAGTCTATGTGAAAAAATTATGTTAAAATATGAAATATTAACCATAGTAATAATATATTATTAAAAATTATTCTCTAAATCAAATAAAATGTTAGATATATGTTTTAAGCAGTATTCTCGGTGGAGATTTTTTCTACAGCCTCGGACAACTTCTCTTCGGTCTCGTTCACATCCCTTGTGTCTTCTTGTGCCTCTTCTACCTTTGATTCTTCATGGTCTACGTCAACTTCTTTGTTCTGTTGATTGGATTTCTTGTTTTCCAATGCAGAAATTTCTGCCATAGCTTTGGCAATATTTTCCTTAGTGACTTGATCTTGATTTTCAACAAAATATGCCTTACTTTTTTCTAATTCACTAATTGTCTTCTCCACTTCAGAAGCGTTAAGAGGAACGGCAATTTCTAAAAAGCCTAATTCTTCCATAATACTTATCGGAATTTTTTGAATTCCATTGGCCTTGTTAGACTTTTTTTCTTTAATAGTCTTTGATTTTTTTTTCGATTTACCTCCGCCAAAGAAATAGTCTTCTTCACGTTCAGATTTTTTAAGTAAGATTGTTCCTTCTGGAACATTGCTGGTTGCATCGGGTTGGCGAATATTATCATCCACAACTGAAGCCGTGAGTATTATTGGTTGAATGGGTTTTCCCGTACCGTAATGAGTTTGGAAATAATTAATCAATTTTTCGCAAATAATAATTTTATCTTGAAAAGCCGGAATCGAAGCGTCAGCTAATTTTTGAGCGGCTTTTTCTGATTTCTTTTGTTCTTCGTATTCCTCTTGCTGCTTTTGTTTTAGTTCGAACCGACGACGACGATCTTCATCAACCTTTTTCCTATATTCTTGCTTTGCTTTATTATGTTGTTCGTGAATAGCCTTTCGAGTAGAGATCTGATAAGTGATTTGGTCGCGTAGTTTTTTTCTTTCTTCGAACAGCTCATTCCTCTTTTCTTTATCATTATCATAATCCCTGTTTATGGAATCCAGTTCCATTTTGACTTTTTCATATTCTGCATTTATGTCCTTATTGTCTTTGTCATCAAGAGTTTTTTTCAATTCGTCGATAGATCTTTGGTCGGCATCAATGGTATTTTGTAAAGTTTCACATGCTTCAACAATTTTCTTTGACTTTTTGAGATTTGTTATTTCAGAGATAATTCGTCTCTCGTCAACAATTTTCAAAGTTCCAGACTCAACTTGCTTTTCCAAGTTTCTATGGAAGAATTAAATAAAAATTAAATACCATTGCGAATTTACCACCAGCAAAATAAAAAATGTATATTTAATTACAAGATTTGATTATTAATCTCCTTAACTGTTCGAAATTGAAGCTTATCCTTGGAGGCCTTAAGTTCGCGTTTCTGGAAAGAAATTTATTATGTATTTATCAAATGTACATGTAAAAATTTAGGAAATAAATTTGTAATTTTGCAAAAATATGTTCGTACCTTTTTTAGAATTGCATCATTCATGGTTTTAAGTTGTTCGTGTGTTTTTAACCTGTCCTTCTTTATCTCTGCTTGTTTTCCGCGAAGTCTGTCGAGCTGAGAACGAAGTTCTTCGCGTTTTTGGGAAACGGATGCATTGTCAGAGGTATTTTTGATATTTTCGATGACTACACTCTAGATGAAGTAAATTATGTCAGTACAAGACAGGAAAGAAAGTGGGTACCAACTCATCTGCGTCTGATGATGACATTTGCAAAAAGTTCATTCAAAAGAAAAAAAAAAACTCACAAGGTCTTCTTGTAATTTGTCAATTGTATTTTTAATCTCGTCAAGTTGTTTCTTATAGTTCTCATCATCGGGTTTGGAGACATACTTCGTAGGGGTCTTTTGAATTTCCGTGGAGTGAACGACAGCAGATGAAGGCATTGTGAGGCTTGAGTATGAAGTCTGGGTTGAAAATTCTATCAATATAATTTGCAATACATATCGTGTGTAGGCTTATATGAATAAGAAAAATCTGCACATGGATCTAATTCAATTGGTGAAATAAAAATGGAGGCACAGAATTTTCTGAACAAATTAGATGTTGACAAGAAACAATTTTCACAAGATAGCTATTTTCGGAAGTTTAGACCAGGGTTTTCGGACCCTGAATTGCTGATCACAAAAATTAATCGTTTCGAAAATGCAACCTGAAAACTTCGCATTTAAGATATAGACTACTCAATAAGCAGATCCTAGTAAAAAAAAATAGACTTGTTAGATTGATAAGCCATCTATAGCCCAATAAAAAAAATTAAATTTGATATATAAAAATTTTAAAATATATATTAAATAAATAAATAAAAAATTTTTTTTAATGACTGGTATACACCTTGCTTTATTAAATATGATAGGATTAGCATATACAAATCTGTTTTATACAAATTTCCCACTATGTCAACTTGATAAAGTTACCTAAGCTAAGATTATTCCTAACTACCAATTGGCTTATTGCCTTCTATTTTTCCTATATTATTAACACCAGAGTCTTGATAGCATAGGTAAAGTGCTAATGTGCCAGGATGTGCACCTTCCAGTCCTACTATACATGTGGCATAAATTATTTTGCTGTTGACTCAATTCCCAAAATTCTCAAAAATAATTGCGTCATGACTCAATTATTTATATGTTTTAATAGTGACTCAATTAATTGCGTCAAATAATTGTGTCAATTGCGTCAAGGATCTATGAATTTCAGCAACATGTATAAGTCCCACCCACTATTCAATGAATAGAAACTCAAAGAACCATATTCTAATACAATCAGCTGCAGACTAACCATAACCAGCAAGGAGAAATCTTGTAGCTCTAATTAGATCCTTGAAAAAATCTGTTTTTTTTATAGTCTCATAAACTGTAAAGGAACAAAGAGTGCCTCTTTGGGAACTGAAAAATGCATCAAACTTGAAATCAATTATTGTAATACCAATTGGATGATTATTACGCCATTTCTTTTTATTTGGAAGATCACAATCTTAACACCCGCTGGATCAATATGTGAATTAACTTCTTATAAGAAACAGTATATATTAAATTATGGTATCAGATATTATATTAAACTTGTTTAACTGCCTTTATCTAAAGTTGAATTGATATCTTGTAATCTGATTTGTAAAACATTAACTACTATACTATAGATCCACAGGTTTAATAAATAAATAAAATATTTTATATTAATAAAAAATATATATTTTTTTATTTACTATTAATTTTCTTTTTTATAATAATTTTTTTCAAAAAAAAATATATTTTTTCTTTTTTAAAAAACAATATATTATAAATTTAAAAATATAAAAAGTTCAAAACTTGTTATTGTATTAAACTAATTAAATTAATATACAGATTTAAACATTTTTTTTATCTTTTAATTATATAAAAAAAACTTATAAAAACTTTTTTTATTATTTATTATTATTTTTTTTTTATTTTTTGCTTTTGATATTAATATAATTTTCTTATTAATAATATTTTTTCAAAAACAATTATAAATAGGTATTAAATATTGTTAATTATACCAGCAAGTTTGTCACCACTCCAGAACTAAGCTTATCATTTGCTGGTATGTAGAAGTTATGTTGCTTGCAATATCAAAGATACTTGTTAATATGACAATTCTTTAACTTTTCTTCTTTCTACTTGTTCCTTTGGCACAATCCTTTATCAATAAACTTGATATTGGCTACTACTGGATTTTTTAGGTGACAAGTATCTCAATAAAGTAAGTTTATTAATTATCATTGTGCAAATATAGGTTTGGATATATAATTATATTGCAATTGACTATCACTATTATTACTCTTTTGACTATTATACTCTACTTCTATTTATATTAGCTGAGACACGTTTACCAATCTAATATCATGTCATGCAATACCTTCACAAACTATTTTAGCTTTGTGATGCATAATTTGATGCATCGCGCTATATCACATGACCTGCATCGATCCCAATCCATCTATATATTTTTCTGCTAACAAATAAAACTTTTATTAAATAAGAGTTTATAATTATTATATTAAGATTTTGATTCTGAAAATTGGAATTAAACAAACTTATATATATATTTTTTTGCCTCTAATCAGACTACAAATGAAAACGTTTATTAATTCAATTTTTGGACAACAGTAATACAATATACATAATATTATATCAAAGCTAAACTAGCACAATTTTGCAGAACACCTATTAAGGAAATTAGATTTGTACATGATCTTTGAATTCTTAATATCAAGACTACCATGTTGCCCATATGATTTAGCTATTTACTAACTATCTCATTATAAGGAAGTAGGTTCATTAAGCTATTACTGCGTGATACTAAATATCTTAGACTTTTTAAATCTAAACTTTCTAGATGTAATCATAGGGAATGATAATAATGCTCCTTTTCAAGACAAGGCATTATAATCTATGTTTTGAAAGATCACTGCTAGCCTATATTCAGATTGTTATCCCTAAACGAACCTGTGGTCCTAAGAGATAAAAAAAATTTTTATTTTTTAAGAAAAAACAAAGGGAGAGATAATAAGAGTAGTTGAAAAGTTTGTTCTGGTAAATAAAAACCCTCCAATATCAACTTCGGTCCATTGGGATAAATTCTTTACCACCACCTGTAGCCAGGCAAACTATTTAATTTCCACCATTCTTTTGTTGACCAAGAATGTTCAAGGTACTTAATACAAGACTTACATGCTGCTTGAAATAAGTCTTACATTTATTGGGAATTATTGCTTGAGACAAGACTTACATTAATGCTTGCTACCTTCTTGGGATAATCAATAAAAGAAGAAGCTTCTTACTGGATTGGAATAAGACTTCTTTTGATCTTGAAGAGAAAAGAAACCAGTCCAAGAAGAGAGGGGAAAACATCATAACACTTCTTAACAAAAAGAGCATCTTGTCACCTAGCTCTTTTCACTATATCCAATTGCAACATCGGTTTTGTATTGTACGAAATAAGGCATATGGGAGTTACGTGTCTTGTTTACATTTCTTGCTACATGTAGATCAACCAGTCCTAAATTCGAGCCAATCATCATTCAAGAATTCCAGTGTAACCAAAAATTCAGAGTCAAACTGAGGTAGGCAAAATTCTCCAGAAAAACCAGGAAAAAGTTTACATGCTTGAAAAGATAGAAGGAAGCTTAAGGAAGATGAAAGAAGAGTTTCGAAAACTGTGTCAGTCTTTTCTAGAGTTTTGAATCTCTGGAGGAAAAGAGGAGAGTGTTTTTTCTACAGGTTCTTTTTCCTAACAAAGTTTTCTTGCCTTTAACTTTATAGATAGGTATTTCTTATATTTA